CGAATGGATCATTTGCGAGTCCAACTGCCGTTAATCTGTTTTTATGATCCATTTTATTTAGTTTCGCTATCCTTTGACATATTGTGGGCGATTTCTTTTGCCACTCAGTTCGAATGAGGGGGCGTGTCGAGGGGCGGAAGTGACGTAAACGCATACCCTCTATTGTTTCTATTCGCAAGATGACCTTGAGGGTCATTCTAACAGAGGCGGATATAAGAAAAGTCATCCTAACCACAAGGCCCTCTACAGTCGAAGATTTGATAAGCGAGCTGAAAGAATCACTGGGACTTCATTATAACTTCAGTCTCCAATACCAAGACCCTGAATTCAATAATGAACTATGCAATCTGACAGATACTAAAGAACTTCCAGAAAAACCAACAGTTAAAGTCATGCCTGTCCTTGAGCTGGTACCTGTCTCATCTGATGAAGTCTTCAGTGACACACCCAGTACAGCAGATACAGACATACTCTCATACTCATCTCAGGAGCGACAGAAACAGTGGCCAGAATTTTTTGATATCCCAACCTTTTCTGTTGATGTAGAGTATAGACTTAGGCAAGCAGATCTGCTGCTTATGAGTGAGGGTACATACCTTAAAGTATGAAAAGAACTAAAACACGAGATACTTGAAAGATTGGCAGAGAGCATGTATAGCTACACAGCATACCCAGCTGCTGCTCAGTTCGAAAGTGTTGCAGCAGCACTGATAAACAAGCACCCTTGTCTCCAGGAGCGAGGCTCAAGCACTCACTGTTGTGGTTGGAAAAATAGTCTGAAGCATAAAATGGCTAATTATAGAACAAAGCGTAGGCAATCAGGATGCCTTGATGTTGCAGTAAATGCAGGTAAGCAGGGAAGGCATTCAGCAGGACAACCAGCTAACAAGCGCATCAAGAAGGCAAACAAAGGTGAAATCAACTACTTGCCCAACTTTCCAGATGGATTTGATCAGGCAGCCCTGGAAGGGGCATGCAAAGACTTGGTTGATGAAATGTAGAAGAGAACACCAAATGGACCTCTTGTGAAACAGAAGATCGATCAGACGTTTGCTCTGAGAAGAAAAGAGGTAGTGGAGTCGGAACCCACCATAAGCACAATGGTGAAACGCTGGCCTGCCCTTTTCACTGAAGATCAAGTATGTTTAAGAAAGAGAAGATAACAAATAACTATCTTTCTATTATTATACAATGTGTCTAGATGTATACTTCTCTTGTCCTCTTTAAGGAAAACAGTGGTATTTTTAATTTGGGGCATGATGTTTTTCATTTAAACATCAACATTTCAAATCATATAAAAAGGACATTCATGGATGTTTTTCAGCACTACTTTTCAGATGGCTTAGCTGCCTTGTATAGTTCAGTTGATCTAAGTTCAGTTTTTGTTTTTCAGTTTTTTTTTTTTTTTTTTTTTAATTTTAGTAGGTTGGAAAAAAAATCAAGAAATTTTTTTTTTTTTTTTTTTTTGGGCGGCATTCTCTTCTCCTCGTGTTTTTTTATTCAAAAGAAGGAATGTTGGAAAGTTGTTGACACATATTTCACAACAGACCAATGTAGGTCCATACACATTATGTACTTGGCATTGTTTTTCACAGGTTTTGTAAAAACATCATATCACAATGCTACTCTACTTGTCACAGTCTAGTCTGCCTCTCTCCTGCACTGCTCATAGCCACACCCCTCCTTTCCCTTCACACCCACCTCAAATTTCCACCCCTGCTCAGCCACTCATGCAGCCACACCGCCTCATCAGCGCAACTGCTTCCACCTGGTTCCCACAGTTTATAGAGCCTCACTCACCCTCTGCTCACTGCCAGATTGTTCCACTGCTATGCGTGACTCTCCAGCCTGCGAATTAGGAGTGAGTCCCTGTTGCCGACCCTGCCTGTTTTCTGACCGTTGCTTTTGCCTGATCCCTGGACCTTTGGACACTGATCTGATACCTGTTCTGAGACGTCTGTGGTTTTGCCTGCAACCCTCTACCACCTTCAAAGAGGAGCCCATCATCCAACTATCCCCTGAGTGAGTGTCTGCTTCCCCTGGTCTCTTCCCCTCTCCATTTGCTGCCCTCCACTCGCTCATCTGTCGCATCATTACGTCGCCCTGCCCCCAACCAGACCCATCCTGCAGTCAGTCTTGAGCCTCTATCCAGCAACCCTGAGCCCATGCAGTTGGGTCGCACCAGTCTGTCCCCTGAAGAACGAGAGCGATGCCGCAAAGCTAACCTTTGCCTGTACTGTGGTCGACCAGGCCACTTCATCTCCCATTGCCCAGCAAAAAGGAGGGGGGGGCTCATCAGAAGGTGGGGAGTTACTGATGAGCCCATCCTCTTTCAAAGCCTCCTCTGTGGTTGACCGTCCTCTGTTTTTGGCTAAGCTCCTTCTGCCTGAAAATCCTCTAGTCCTGTCTACATTCATTGATACTGGAGCTGATGCTAACATTATTGATGAAAGACTGGCTCATCAGCTGGGCATTGGTCAGGTGCCCCTGCCTTGTCCTGTACCTGCCAGGGCTCTTGATGGTCATCTGCTTGGGACGGTTACTCATCAGACAGTTCCGGTCCGCTTGCTCATGTCTGGCAATCACCGTGAAATCATTCAGTTTCATGTTCTGTCCTCCCCCCACGTTCTTCTTATTCTGGGTTTCCCATGGCTCCGCCACCACAATCCACAGTTCGACTGGTCGGCTGGGGTCATCCGCGGTTGGAGTTCCGCTTATCATCAGGGTTGCCTGAAGCAGGCGGCTGCACTGCGCCGCTCTCCACCTCCCAGTGGCCAGCCTGATCTCTCTCAGGTTCCCAGCTACCAGCCCATACCTCAGCCTCAGGTTCCCAGCTACCAGCCCATACCTCAGCCCCAGGTTCCCAGCTACGAGCCCAAGCCTCAGCCTCAGCCCCAGGTTCCCAGCTACCAGCCCAAGCCTCAGCCTCAGCCCCAGGTTCCCAGCTACGAGCCCAAGCCTCAGCCTCAGCCCCAGGTTCCCAGCTACGAGCCCAAGCCTCAGCCTCAGCCCCAGGTTCCCAGCTACGAGCCCAAGCCTCAGCCTCAGCCCCAGGTTCCCAGCTACGAGCCCAAGCCTCAGCCTCAGCCCCAGGTTCCCAGCTACGAGCCCAAGCCTCAGCCTCAGCCCCAGGTTCCCAGCTACGAGCCCAAGCCTCAGCCTCAGCCCCAGGTTCCCAGCTACGAGCCCAAGCCTCAGCCCCAGGTTCCCAGCCACGAGCCCAAGCCTCAGCCCAAGCCCAATGCTCTGTCACGTCAGTTTCAGAAGGATGAACCCCCCGTTGATGCTGCCCCCATCCTATCCCCATCCTGTTTTGTAGCCTCCCTTACCTGGGACATTGAGGAGAGGGTCAAAGCCGCCTCTGTTGACCAGCCTGGCCCCAGTGCTTGTCCTCCTGATAGACTGTTTGTACCTGCTGTGTTAAGGTCAGAAGTGTTACAGTGGGCACATTCTTCCAAGCTCACCTGTCACCCTGGCCTTCACAGAACAAAGGAGCTTCTGGTGGACAACTGTGGAAGAGGATGTGCGGGACTTTGTCAAAGCCTGCCCTATTTGCAATCAGCACAAATCCTCCCATCAGGCACCTGCTGGCCACCTCCACCCACTTCCCATACCCCATCAACCCTGGTCACATATATCCCTGGATTTTGTCACTGGATTTCCCCCCTCTGAAGGAAACACCACCATCCTTACCATAGTCGACAGATTCAGCAAAATGGCACACTTCATTCCTCAAGAAAATCCCCTCAGCCAAAGAGACAGCTGAACTCCTCCTCCTGCATGTTGTCCGACTTCATTCCCGTCAACATCGTCTCAGATCAGGGTTCCCAGTTCACTTCCATCTTCTGGTGAGACTTCTGCAGTTTGTTGGGGGGCCTCAGTTAGCCTGTCCTCTGGTTTTCATCCGCAATCCAACGGGCAAACGGAGAGAACCAGGAAATTGAGACTGCCTTGCGCTGTCTGGTTTCTTCCGACCCTTGCTCTTGGGCTCAGCATCTTGTTTGGGTTGAGTACGCCCATAATACACTCTCTAGTTCTGCTAGTGGTCTCTCGCCCTTTCAATGTGCTTACGGTTTCCAGCCTCCTCTGTTCCCTGCTCTTGAGAAGGAGGCTTCCTGCCCCTCTGTTCAAGTGTTCATTCAACGTTGTCAACGCATCTGGACCCAAGCCCGCAACTCACTCATACGTGCTGCCAATCGCTACGCCACCTCTGCCAACCGCCACCGTTCCCAAGATGAGTATCGAGTGGGACAAGAAGTATGGCTTTCCACCAAGGATCTCCCTCTGCGAGTCGACTCCAACAAGCTGGCTCCAAAGTTTATTGGTCCATTTCCCATCCAGAAGATCATCAACCCAGTGGCAGTTAGACTGAAGCTTCCTCAGTCCATGCGCGTCCATCCCACTTTTCATGTATCTAAGATAAAACCTGCCCTAGAAAGCCGCCTATTACCACCCACCCAACATCCTCCTCCTCCTCCTCACATGGTTGAAGGGGGCCCTGTTTATGACGTCCAACGTCTCCTCCGCTCCCGGCGTCGAGGGCGAGGCATGCAGTATCTGTTGGACTGGGGAGGGTTATGGCCCTGAAGCGAGGTCTTGGGTCCCCGCCAGCTTCATTGTTGACCCCCGACTCATCTCCAACTTCCATCGTAAACATCCTGATCAGCCCTCTCTTTCTACCTCTGCCGCTGCCACCGGTAGACCAGCTCACTCTCAACAGCCCCATCCCCTTCCCCTTGTTCATTTGGACGAAGAGGAGCATGAGTTTGATGCGGAGGATTCTCAGGAGGGCTCAGTTCAGGAAACTCAGGACAATAATGATTGGATGGATGCTCTGGATGGACAGGATGGATTCCTCCCCCAGACCCCCTCCCACCCTGCCCCGGATATGGATAGGTCCGCTTCACCTGAATTCTAGCCCCCCCCCTGTATGCCCCCCTCCCACCCTTGCCTGTTTTGGGACATCAGGAGCCATCCCTTGAGAGGGGGGGTTCTGTCACAGTCCAGTCTGCTTCTCTCCTGCACTGCTCATAGCCACACCCCTCCTTTCCCTTCACACTCACCTGCAGTGGAAATTTCCACCCCTGCTCAGCCACTCATGCAGCCACACCCCCTCATCAGTGCAACTGCTTCCACCTGGTCCCCACAGTTTATAGAGCCTCACTCACCCTCTGCTCACTGCCAGATTGTTCCACTGCTATGCGTGACTCTCAAGCCTGCGAATTAGGAGTGAGTCCCTGTTGCCGACCCTGCCTGTTTTCTGACTATTGCTTTTCCTGATCCCTGGACCTTTGCACACTGATCTGATACCTGTTCTGAGACATCTGCGGTTTTGCCTGCAACCTTCTACCACCTTCAAAGAGGAGCCCATCATCCAACTATCCCCTGAGTGAGTGTCTGCTTCCCCTGGTCTCTTCCCCCTTTCTATTACTCCCTTTAGAAGATTCACAGGCAACCCTTTGCTGCCCCCCTTCCCTACCTTTAGTCCTCACTCCTGCCTTTTCCCCGAAGAAGGAAGACACCGTTTGTTCATTGTTCTAGATTCACCTGAGCTAATAAAATTCATTATCACTGATTTACTGTTTCCTGTGTGCTGCTATTGGGTTCACACCCCCCCACCCCCGTTTCACTATTGTTGTGTAATTCAATCCAAACATAGCTTGGTTTGTTTAAGCTTTCTTATAGATTATTTGTTTTTCATTTTAGTTATCTAACTTGTGGTACTGTGTTTAATTCCCAAAAGACTAGAGAGCCAACTGTGATCTGGACACAGGTGCTCAGAGGGCTTCCTATCATCCATGGGGACAACCCCACAAACTTCAAAGCAGGCTTTGTAAGTAAGCTCTTGCTTTCTTATAATTTTCACCATTATTTTTCACCAATGATTAAAGTTGTTTTTCAAATGAGAAATCTAATGTAATTGTGCTCTTTTGTTCTTTATTTAGGAATCTGATTATTTTTGTGACCTTGACATTGGGATACTTCTCATTGAGCGTGAAGATGCTGTGCCCACGTCTTCCCAGCATCTCAGTCCAGCCTCGTTGAAAATCATCATTGAGGGAGAAGTCGTGATGGACAACATTCAAGATCTGCCAAAAGCAACGTGCATTCGGTTTGGACTCATGTATTCACTCCATCTTAACTAACCCAAGACTATGAAGCTCACATTTCAGTTCATCCAACAGGTATTGCTCTTGTTAGGCCACACTGATCTAAAGCCGAAGCTACAGACTTTGAAAAATCAGCTCGCAATGTAAAGAGATGTCAAGTCTACTCTAAGAAGCTGTTGATGACTTTTTTTTTTTTTTTTTTTTGCCACACCAGTAAAACACTTAACTTATTTCCTGTAAACTGGACGAGCAGACACACACCCACACACAACACTGACACACATACACACCTACACACACTTAAATGCTGTAGGAAGTGTGCTGAAGGATGTGACTTGTGTGAAAATTAAAACTGAGGAGTTGTAGCAGAAAGACAGACATTGTTTCAGTTCTTCATCCATCTATGTAGATGGAATAAGATATTGTTCTGATATGATAGTCTGTTGGTTCATGCTCTGGCCTCCTTTCATTTAGGCAGATGAAACAGATCCTGTTTGTTTGCAGTTTCTTGTTCATCTGAGTGGGGTTTTCTGTGTGAATTGTTTTGTTTATGGATTTACCACTTTAATCTCAGGAGACATCCATGTTTTGTTTTTTTTTTTTTCTTGTAAATTTGACACATTCAACACCCACATACAAAGAACACAGACACGTACAACACCCACACACAATTGTTTCAATGATTTGAAATGACCTTTTTCAGATTAATCATTTTAGGTTGGATGTGTTGATGTTGACCTGATAAGTTTGTCATAACAAGGTTGGCTGTCATTTGCCATTTTTCTTAAATAAAATGCATTGGAGCATTTAGAGGTTTCTTTTTTTTCCCCCCATCCAATTTTAATTGAAACTGTTTTATACCATATTTAAATTAATCTAATTAAATTAGAGGAAAATATGGTAATTGTGATGAGTAGCAATAACGAGTCATAATAGCTAGTTTTATCTAATGATTTTGAGTACACACTACAAATATAAATACTAAACTTAAGGTTCTGTTAATACAACTTGACATGTTTAGTTCCAGCTTGTGTAAAACCTAAAGTGGTATAGGGCAACGGGTTTCCATGCGATTTGTGAGTAAAGTCAACTAATTCGGGTTAAGAGTGTGGTTTGAGGAAACCATGCGATGAGAATCTTGATAGAAACCTGAATTTAGTGTTAAAGGAAGTGGGCAAAGGGAGGAGGTGCTGATAGAGAGATGTGAAGTGAAGCGAAACTTACGGGTTCAAAGTCTCGTTACAGTAATGTTAGATGCCTATAGCTATTTAGCAAGCCCCGTTTCCATAAGCCCAAAATGTTGGCGAGCTAACCCTCACAGCTCGATAAAAGAGGCTAGCCCATTTAGCTTATGCATGGCCTGTCAGTAGCTGGTACCGCCATGGGGCTTAGTGATAATAAATTCTCCGACCTGAAAACAAAATCATTTTCTCTACTTTAAGCACCACCCACAGCTCTGCAAGGTAAAATTATTGTCTTTGTCAATGGAGCATGGATGGATATAGCAGCATGTTAAAGCGATGAAAATATGAAATCATATAATATTCATATTAACTGTAGTACACACTTAAACAGATTTTTTTTCAGGTGGCTCTGTGCTGCTCCTCCAAACTGGGGACGCACTGACCAGCGTCTGTTGTGATACACTGACTATAAATACCCCATACAACCCCATGTCAAAAAACCCAAACTATCTCTGAAACTACTGAACACTATTTAGACATATTTTGATGCTTAGTGGGTCACTCGCTGACTACGCTGTGGAGCCAGTTGTAACAGAGCACAGTGGGACCTTTTGACAGCATTCATTCCTGGAGCAAACATCTGGATTTAGAAGTGATATCTAGTAATCAAAATCGCTGGAAATATTGATCCCTATCTCTGTCCTGTTACATAACTTTAATTTCAATGTAAATCATTGTTTGTTAAACCTACAGTACTGACTCACCACTATGTGACTGGAGTTAAGGTGGCACACGCTATCCTTTTCTCAGTTATGAGTCTAGTTATTCAGCATGATTCTTACAGAGTGGTGTGAGCAAATGAACTGCGGGGCCATAAAATAAGGCTGCAGTCAGCAGGTTAATGACATGACAGCGAGCACCAGCCCCCAGCAGAGGGTTCCTCTACAGAGATTGTCTGTAGACTCCTCTCAGTGTGGGGTGTTAAGTGCAGAGTGAGCAGTGGGGTTTTATTTTAACAATCTAGTGTGTCCACTGGAAGGCAGGGATGGGCTTTTAAAAGCAGAAAGGAATTCATTCATTTATTTCAAAAGATTTATTCTCTTTTCTTTTTGGTGCCCTTGCATCTGGTGCCCACCTACAGTACCTCGCCTGTGCCTGTAAACCCACTGCACCAATAAATGAATTGTTGAGAGTTGGGGAGCCAGCAAGATCACTACCACAGAGTTCTGTAGAGCAAAAACCATGACTAGTTTATCTGAGTGTAAAACATAATGTCTCACTAGAAAATGAAACGACAATTGTAAAAATCTGTACTCATGGTTTCTGTTTCTCCAAAGCTTCATTCCCTAAATTACTCCAAGCTCCTGCACTGTTCTGGTCAGTGTGGTCACATCTCCTAACTTGTGGCTACTGCAGAGTTGTTCTTTTTAATGGTTTTCATTGGGCCGCAGCAAGGGCAGTGGGCAGCACTTTGTGGCACTTCCGCCTCCTGAGTGTCCCTGCCGATTGGCTGCAAATATACAGATGAAAGGTTTTGATAGAAATCAATTTGTACTCAGTTGCAAATAATGATTTTATAAACAGTGAACTAGATTACATAGTCTAATGCATACTTAAGGAATAGTAAAATTACTGGCTTGAAAAAATACAAAAGGACAAGTACCCAGAAAATGACAATTAGTGAGTTATATATTTTTATTTTATAATATATATTATAAAAGTTGATTTAGATTCTGCCATCCTTGAAAACGCTGATGTAGGAGTGTCCTTGAAAGCTCCACCAAGTGACTCACAAAAGAAGAACTTGTTCTGTACTGAAATAAGTGGAAAAGGTAGAAAGAAAGGAGGAAAAGTTTGTAGGACTTAGTGGCATCAACCGTTGAAGTTGCAGATTGCCACTAACTGAATACAGCTCAGTCTTCCAAGTGAGAAGGAGAAACGACGGTGGCCACAAAACTCGTAAAAAGGCCCTATGTGAAAGTCTCTATCTAGAGCCAGCGTTTGGTTTGTCCATTCTGGGCGACTGTAGAAACATGGTGGACTCCACGGAACACAACCTGCAGCATCTGTAAATAAACACTGCTCATTCTAAAGTAACAAGAACACAACAATTCCTATATTCAGGTGATCGTACACTAATGAAAACATACCTATGAATATTATATACCGTATGTAAGTAAGTACGGTAACATGAGTAGTTGTAATTCGTTAATTCCACCCCTGGGTAAAAGTAGCATTTCATTTCAAATGGACAGTTTAGATAATAAACACTGCAAATGCGAATTAACCTGTCCAAACTGATGAAAACAAATTCATTAGTTCCAATGAGAATTTCCCTTTAATTAAAGGAGCATTTCACCCGTGGAAACATTAATATTTATTGAAAGTAGGTTATATATGTAGTCGAAATGTAACATACATTTTGAATTTGGTGCCTATTTGACCGACAAAAGACAGAAAGTGACTTTAGGGCGCATTTAGATTAAAGACAACAACTCCCACAATGCACAGCTCCGCAAGCCACTCCCACTAACACTATCAAGGACTACAACAACGTGAATGTAAACCATTTGTTTACAGAAATATATCAACAACAACAAAAATAAATATGTTAACAATGACAGTTATAGTTCCTCCTGAGCGTCCTCAACTTCTTGGTGCCGCAGTACTGGCCATCTGGAGCTGGATATTTCTGTCGGATAGCCTGCACCACATAAGCAGGTAAAACGACACGATGGCCTCGACCCAATCTCTCGCCTTGCAGGACCCATTCCAGAAAGGCTGTTAGGCGATATTGTCTACAAGACATTGAGCACACAGTTAGAGATGCATGGTCTTTGTGTTGAGCGTGCCACAGTAGTTAGCAATGCAACTGCAAGCTGTTTGTGCAGTAAAGAAGTTAACGTTAGTTCAGTTGGCTGACGTTACGTATTAACCGGGAATAACTTTGTGATAATGCTTGAACAAATTGTGTACATTCATGCCACGTTGTTATAAGACAGAAAATAGAAACACTCACTTTACAGTCAGACGTCCGTGTGTCCGTAGGCGCACAGCCAGAGCACAGGCACCAGCAGTCCGCCCCAGCTCGAGCCAGTCCGGGCCCCTCGTCCGCGACAGGCAGGTCCTCTGCCTCGGCTGCAGAAGCCTCAGCCGCCTCCTGTTCAGCCTCAGCTGCTCTTCGCTATATTGCGGCTCATAAAGGTAGCCACAAACATCTGATTCAACCATCATACTTTCGAAATTTCTTCCATATTAGATTCATTAACATAGTCGTAACGTCTGGCTCCACAGCGCCTCCGCTTGGCTTCCAAACAAGATGGCGGTTATATTTTTAGTTTCTGCAGGTGAAGTCCCACCCACTGATCTGTAATAGGTCTGTAGCGTGAGTGAAAAAAAATTGAGGAAGTAGTGTTTGTAGTCTCACCCCCTCTACAGAGATATGAGACTTCCTGCTTCCAATGACGCAAAATTATGATTTTTACATCACTGGAAGCAGGAAGTGCAACACTAAAATCTGTATTTCTCCCCTCTCAGGGGAAGTGAGGGAATGATGCACGACCATTCAAAAATATGACTGGGATTCTAATGATACAAAGCTTAATGCAAATGAGTGAAGTGTCCCTTTAAGTATACCCACAGCCACAATGTTTTACTTGTCTAACCTTAATCCTTAATTCATTTAACAGACAGGGGAAAATGGAATGTCCTGTCCACTATACTTTATTACATTTCAGGGGAATTCATGTCCATTTGTTTTATTTTATTATACTTTTTTGAAATGATGCTCCAATGCTTTCATTTAACATGAAATGACCTCTGTGTTTGAAAGGTGCAAATTCAAAACAAATGAACTTGCCCTAGCTTTATCATAGTATTACTGATATTATTTATTTTCCTATATTTACATGATTTTATTAGCACTATTAAAATGAAAAGAGAGATTTGATCATATTTCTGCATTTAATCCATCCATTAGAGGTTTGCTCATGTAGTGGACTATATCAGCCCTAGATTGCTGGACTGCTGCCATGGTTCAATGAAAACTGACCCTCAGGAAAATGAAGTTAGGTCTTTTAATCACAGCGTTTGGATGACACCTCTAATGATTAGCTGTTACTTCTGCCAATCTGAGATAGATTGAGTTGGCCCCAGAGATGCTGGAGGTGTGTCATTCTGCTATTTGCATTTTAAGTCACAGTATTTAGTGCCAAGAAGTCAAGAGGGAACCATATACTGTACATTCCGAATGCAGTTTCAGAGATTGCATATGCTGAGTTAGAAGTGGTTAAGAGCCCATATTGCCTTCAGCGTGCTGAATTATTTGATGCATTGATGCAAGAGTTCTTTAAATTATCCCATTTATAACCCATTAATCAGGGTTCCATATGTGTGAATTGTGTTGTCCAACAGTCACTTCTGTTGTAGTCATCCTGAGCAGATGCTTGCTTTGTCATGGTGCAGTAAGAAAACCCAACTTTTACCTTACCTTGCCGACAAGTAATGTTGACATTAGGTATGGATCATGTCAAATTCTGACCCTGCTATTCGCATACATATATAGGGTGCATCTGATGTTGCTTAACTGCTTCCACATTTCCCTCACTTGTGTCTTTTCCTTT